TTCAGGTCCCGCAACCTTTCCTCATAGGACCTACCCTGCTGTCCCTTGATCATATGAGTGGCCCTCCTCTGGACCCTCTCGATGCTGTCCACATCCCTCTTAAAGTGCGGCACCCAGAACTGGACGCAGTACTCCAGCTGCGGCCTGACCAGTGCCGCATAGAGGGGGAGGATCATCTCCTTGGACCTGCTCGAGATGCATCTGTGGATGCACGACAAGGTGCAGTTGGCCTTCCTAGCCGCCTCCCCACATTGCCGACTCATGTTCATCTTGGAGTCAATAATAAACCATGACTGATCAACTAAATGGTCAGGAGTTTGCAGAGGAACATCTCCTGGCAGATACTAATATTAAGTGAAATAGTCTCGAAGTGAAATACATACAAGGGTGCAAATGATATATTTCCTTATGTGGTAATCTTTCTCTATCCTAATTAGATGAATGTACTAAGAGTATTTGTTGGATCGCCATGTGGTCTAAATCTTCGTAACATTTTGTGGCATGGATTTGCCTCCCCTCAAGAAATTCCTGTAAAGTAAGTTGCAAGTGAATTTGGAAATTATTTTTTCAAAATGCCTTTTTTACTAGTTGGTCTAGGAGCAAGAGGAGAAGTAAGTAACAACTCTAGTATGCTTTCATTTTATTTTTAACTGAAATTTTGTTTCTTACAAACCTTTGGGTACCTCTAGGTTTCCTAAGTCCACTCCTGTCTTTTCCTTATAGAATATCTTAACTGTATATGAAACTGGTTAACTGGAGTTGTGTTTGTGGGCATGGGGAAGAGCTAATAAAGTTAGCAGAGCAGAATACAGTGGAAACGTGGCAACATTTCACTTAATTTTTAACAATAGCATTACTGTGGCCATTGGTTTTCCCAGCTCTCCTCCAGACACGTCTCAGTGGGTGGGTTTTCTGGGAAGGTCCTCTCAGTAGCTGCTTATGCTCTATTTTTTAATTGAGTTAAAATATTGTAATATCCATCTTATTGCATCAGTTGGGAAATGAGCAAGTTGTGCTCTTGTGGGAGACTTGGTGCCTTGTCTGTTGGAAAGTAGAATTATTCTGAGTAGATGACTTGAGCAGCAGCAAGAATAAGCAGGAACTAAAGACACACGCATGGGACAGGAAGAAGAGCAAATAGAGCCAAATAGAAAATAGGTTTTTCCAAATTCCTGGTTTCCCTCTACTTGTGAACTTGATCAGGTGTTACATGTTTGTACTTGCATGGTTACGAGTGGGGAAGGAATGAGATTTATTGCTTTCTTCCCCCTTGCAAGTTCAACTCCCCATGCATGTAGATGTCTTCATAATGCCCCTGGCCCACAAACACCATTTTTTTTCTCTCTCTCTCTTTCTTTTTTTTTTTAACTCATTCAGTTTTATAAACTCTTCTAATATACAGTGATGTTTTTCCCTAGATATTGCTCTATGCTGCTTTTTTTAACTGCAGGATTGGGGCAGTTACTAAAGAGATACCTTGTGCAAAACAAATTCAGTTTAGTACACCGACCTTACATAACTTTCAGTAACTTGGAGGAGTTGGACATATTTCCAGGCAAGTATCTAATCGTGAAGTTGTGACATCTTGAGATTGGCTCCTGTGTTCTTTGTTAGCCCAAAACTGTCACTGGAAACAGTTAGTTTTCCACAGCTCTATTATCAGTCCCTTAATTAAAATATCTGTATGCAGCTGTTAAATAAATTCGTAAAAGATGCAGGAATATTTTTAATGCAGTTGCAAGTTGTGTCATTTGGGGGATTTTTTTCCAAAATCAAGCACAGGCATTTAAATCTACGTCATCTAAGCTTTCTTATAAAGCAAGCATATCAAAATTTTTGGTCCTGTGGGCCAGATCTGGACCATGAGGCTTCTTGCAGGCCTGATGACCCATATGTTACACAAGTGGTGTTTAATTCCCATGGCTGCTAGAGTTGCAATATTGGCACAGCTCTAGAACCCAGGGGGGTTAATGTAGTTATGTGGGTGGCTCAGTGTGTGCACATATTGTGAGCACATATCCTCACCCCTTCCCTCTGGATGCTTTTTTTTTCTTAAGTTCTCAGCAACAACAAAAGCCTTGAATACAGTGGCAGGTAAGTTAAGGTTGGGGGAAAGCACCAGCACTGTTAAGCCCCTGGCTTCCAGAGCCAGGCAGATGCAGCAGTTCCAACAGTTGTAATGATAAGCCACATGGGCCAGATGTTTGGCACCCCTATTCATAAAAGATTTAAAACACTCTCTAGTCTCCTGATGTTGATGGTGAAAACCCTGTAATCATCATCTAGTTTACCTCTTGGAAATCTTTGTCTTTTGAGGGTCAGTGTATCTTCATGGTCCAGTGGCAGTGCAGTCTGCTTGGATGAGGATTCAACCCTAAGACAGGGTAGGGTGCAGGGCCATCTCAGTTTATCCTGGTCCTTTTGCCAGAGAAGACCATTTTTTTTTTTTTTCCCCTCCTGTCTCTCATTTGGACTCTTCAGAATCGTTTTGGTGATGGCTGCCTAAGGGAACTCGCATAAGCTTTTTGGCTTATTTTAGGGGTGGGCAAGACACAGCCCACAGGCCAGATCTAGCCCGCCAAAGGATTTTAACCAGCCCAGGTGCAGGGGCAGCTTGGGCCATGGTGTGTGCAGCCAGTTCTGCTGCCCGTCCTGGTGCGTGCAGCTCCTTCCAGCTATTGCCTCTAATGTCTCCACCACTGCTAGTGACTTCACTGCCACCAGACCTGGTTCTGGCCCTGGCCCCACTGTCCAGGCAACCCCAGCCTGTCTGCCCCGCACCCACTTCTGGGGCATTGAATGGAGTGGGTGAGCAGGGTCCCCATGGAAACTGGCTAGGACCCTTGTGGGCAGAGCAAGCTCAGCCAGGCGGTTGAGATGGGACCACAGGTAGGCAGGGAGTGGCGTCTGGGAGCAGGATGGACAGGCAGGGGCCAGGGCCAGGATCACTGGGTGGTGACAATGCAGGGCCAGGCCTGGGGCAGAGCTATGATCTGCTTCCCACATATCCCTGCAATGCACGCCAGTTCCGTGGGCATGGATGTGCAGGCAGTGGATCATGTCTCTGCCTCAGGTCCTGACCCCAGCCCCGGTCCTGTGCTGTCATCACCCTGTTATTGCAGCCTCTGCTCGCCCATCCTGCTCCTGGATGCTGCTCCCAGCTTGCCTAGAGCCCCATCCCATCTACCCGGCTTGAGTATGCCTTGCCTGTGGGGGCCCCAACCAGTCTTCATGGAGACCCTGTCCACCAGATCCATCTGGCGCCCCCAACAGTGGATCAGTAGTATCAATTCCCCCCCTGCCCCTCTGGCCTGCAACAGTTTGCCCAAATTCCTAAAGTGGTCCTCTAGCCAAAATAATTGTCCATCTGTGTCTTATTCAGTCAAGTCTTACTATTTTGTGAGCATCAGCAAGAGGATGCCCTTGGCACTCACCTTAACGCAGATTGTGAGCACTCAACACTCTTTTGAGCTGCTTTCCCCTCTGCTTGTGGAACTGAGACTGGGCCTCTGGGGCAAAATTAAGTATAATATTCTGGTCTTCCTTTGTTAAGAAATTCTACTGCTGTTGCATTTGCCACAGAACTGTCCTTCAGAATAGAAGAGTTTCTTAAGAAAGGAAATGTTTCCGCTTCTGTAATTGCAAAGAAATGCTTTACAACGTGAATTTCATTCACAACATTAGTGGCACATCTTGGTGATACTGTGAGGGACATAAAATGACAAAGCAGGAGCAGAATGAAATTAAATTTAATATAAAAACAAATATTGCAAGGGTTACAGCACTGACTCATAGAATTAAGTGAATAATAAAACCTACAGATATAAGTTCATCAGAAGCAGATGCAGAATTTCCATGAAAGTGCCACAGAACTCTTAGTTTACCTTTTTTTTCAGAGAGAAAATGAGTCTTGCCAAGTGACAGTAACCAATTTTTTTAATTGTGTTTTGTGTTTAGTCTCTAAGGCTAAGAAAACGGTATTTATGAAACACTTAGGTAAGAGAAGTTAACCAGATTGAAGTAATTGAAATAATGGTGAAGTCTACTTTTATGTATTATCTGCCCCAAAATAAAATTTTGTTAGGACTAATTCTGCTTCATCAGGTATATCTGCATTTCAGTGTATAGCCAGTCCGTTATTATCATTAAAGTCTATTTTTGTTGATTTGCAGATATTAATTATGAAGTGCTTTCTTTAACTGAGGAACTAGCAAAGAGATCCAGTTTTGTGTTAAAAATCATGTTACCCTTTTGGATTTCTGCACTAACCGCTTTCAGGCAGCACAGGTAACAGAACCATTACATTACATTTTCCATTTTTACCAATTTTGGGATATTTTTTTAAACCATAGGCATCAATTACTTAGGGAAAACCAGCAAGTCAAACCCATAGCCTTCAAAATGTTAGTTTTTATCTGCTTAATGGCCAGTTTTCATTAGAATGCAGCATAATTTTAAAATAAACTATTCTGCTTTTGTGTGTATGGAACTACACTGAGAGAATTGTGTATCTTTACAGCTGTGTGAGACATTTGGCTGGACCTGTAAATTAGACTTTGAAGTCTGAACAAGAGTATGAAGGAAAGCCCAAAGAATGAAACTAAGAAATAGAAGTATTTTAATAAACCTCAAAAAAAAGTCTAAACCTACCAACTTGGTATATTGCTGGTCAATATAATCATGTTACTGTAGTTCTATTTTCCTTTAGCCTTCCATCTCTTTGAATGCTACACAGACTTGTCATATTTTGTCTGTCTTTAGATTTTTCGTTTTTTCTAGCTGTTTGCTGCATGTTTATGTAGTAGCTAGCACAATGAGATTGTGATCTTGATTGGGTGCCTATAATACAGCTGTAATACTGTTTTTTAAGTGTTTCTGAGATGCCCTTGATATCCATAAGGATTTGTGATTGAAGAAATAAATTAATGCGAATTCCTTTAACTTTTCAGGTATGCTGACTGTGTTACATTATTACTTCCTCAGTTGGAAACCAGCCTTAGATTACTCTTTACCACAGTTAATAAATGTCCGAGTAGACTGCTAACTGCTGAAGTAGGTTTGTGTTTGCATAAACTTGATTATGATTTATTATTAACAAGCTTAAAACAGATGTCTTAAAATACAGTTTATTATTAGGCTTACCCAAGTAGCTTTTTCTCATGGCCAGATTTCACCAACCGCTGTCAGAAGTTGCCCAATAGTGCAGAGCTACAGGAACACTTGATAACATTTCCACTAAAGCAGCTTTTGAGCCTAAGTTACTCAGGTCTTCATCTGCTCCTCATCTATAAGGGATAATTCCAATTTGTAACCCCTGATTTATCAAATAATTTAGTAAGAATAAATTCAATGTGTCAGGTTAGTTAATATCATTATCTCTTTTTTTTCTCTCAAAGATGGAATAATACTGTTGTCTTCTGTTGTAGCCTTCTTCTCTTTACACCACCCTTGATGAGGTATGTTAATTGTGATTTTTTGGGGGGACTGTCACAATTTTTTGTTTTCTACAGAGAGTTATTGTTAACCTTAGGATTCAAGACCATAGCAAATGAAACACAGGTCTTGTTCCCTTAAGTCAGTGATGCCCAACCTTTTGGCTCCATGGGCCAGTCAAGTGCTGCAGGGTGGGTCTGTAAGCCAGATCTAATCTGTGGGCCCAATTGAAGTACGGTATTCCAAGTGTGACTGAAATCAGTGTAAAAAGAAGGGGTATTATTTCTTAATTTCCAAACAGTAAGTGATGGTGCTTAATTGGTTATGACTTGCATGAAAAGTTTAATATTCCATTTTTATCTTTAGCTCCCAAAAACCTCGCACACTTTTTACTCCCACTGATTTTTAAGTCCTTTGCCATAATGTTGGACCAATATTAAGATGATTTTCCCTCAGTTGTAGTATCATTTTTCTTGCTAAATATTTGAGACTTGCCTGTCTCAGAGGGCAAATGAGATTGGGCATATTTTGGCAAATCCTATTCCATACTGAGCCACTTTGAAGTGATCAAGCTGTAGAGCACTTTAGCTTTTTGATCCAAGGTTAGCGAGGTTGTTTGGAAGCTTAAGAGTTGCTCTAAACGAAAACAGTTTTTTAATGTGTTCGTTAGGTGCCTGATGTATTCATTTCAAGACACAATGGGATTTGATGCCTCAGTCCCACCACTCGCACCTCCTGCCATGTTAATATTTTGGTTTAAGAGTATTCAGAAAAAATCTGCTCTAATATGTGGGTTCATCTACATGTGCAATTAGCACATAACAATAAACTCAGTTGCAGTTTGTGCTGGAGTTTACTGCTCTTGGGCGCAGCATTTACACATGGACAGAGCTGTCCTGGGGCAGGTGCAAATTGGGGCAACTGCCCCAGGTCCCACACTTTGGGGGGCCCCTCAGAGCCCCAGGCGGAGAGGCTGTGGCCCCTCCTACATTTGGCGTGGCTGCTGCATTTGAGGTGTAGCCCGTCCACTCGCCCCATAGGTTGGAAGTTTCTTTAACTGTGCCAGCCATAAATTCCAGCTGCCAACACTCCCGCAGTGTGTCCAGTGTGCCGCAATGTTCATTTACCTACATTAGTGTGCCGTGGGATGAGAAAGGGGGCCCCACACAGTCTGATTTGTCCTGGGCTCTGCACCCTGCTAGGGTTGTCTCTGTACGTGGACCTGGGACTGCAGCATGTTGAGCTGGGGTGGAGTAGTCCTGGCTGGCAGGAGGTCCAGGTGGGGGGGGAGGGGTCAGCCTGTCAGCCCAGGGGTGCTCTGCCCTGGCTCAACATGCTGTTGAGGGGCTAGCTGGGGCATGAGGGTGTTAAAGTGTGAGGCTAGCCAGCACACACCCCCTGCATTGTAGTATCCTCATGCCCCAGCCAGCCTCCGTCTCCGTCTACACGTGCATTTTGGCGCATGTAACTACTCTGCTCTAAGATAGTACTTGTCCCGGACAGTACTATCCTACAGTGGAGTTAATTAATTTACTGCATCCCAGTCCGGGCACACATGTAGAAAGTGGTGCTTTAGTGTGGAACTAATGTCAGCTCCAAAGTAAAGTGCCCATGTAGATGCACCCTCTGTGTCAATGTATATTGGTGAATAAACAAGAATTTTTTTCTAAATCTTTTCATCTTGTATACTCGTATCTCTGTAGCTGAAATGCATGTTGTCACATCTCACAGGTTCTCATTTTTGAGGTGAGTGCAAGTATAATTACAGAGAGTTTGTAACAACTCATTTCTCTTCAATCCAACTCTCCAAAATCCAGAATGTGTGCATTAGTTTGTAAGTTGCACATAACCTGATTGTTTGGCAATCAGAAAATTGCTTCATATGTGGAGTTGGTTGTTAGTTTTTTGGTGTTTTTTGGGGGGGGAGGGTAGTCTATTTCAGTTGTTCTTGGTGCAGTGCTTTTGCAGCCCTGAAACAAAAGTGTAGCCAGTCATAACACTTGTATCTGTATCTGTTAATGGTATAAGCTGTAATATTGTAATTCTTGCATCTATATCGGGGTGGGCAAAATACAGCCCTCACGCTGGATTTGGCCTGCCCATGGCTCCCACTAGTGAATTGTACCCGAGGCTCAGTCCTTCTGCCCACAAGGGTGGAAATGAGGTGCCCACATGTAACACCCCCCCAAACATACCCTATTGCACCTCACTCCCACCCTTGTGGGTGGAAGGGCCTGGCCTGGCCAGTGGGCAGCTTCCAAGCAGGGCTGCTGCAGCCACTGGGGCCTGTACTGCTTCCCCTGCCTCGCAGTTGCTCTGGGCAGCAGGTAGGGAAGTGATGGGGGCGGGGGCCGAGCTGCAACTGGGCAGGAGAATGGGGTTGAGGCTGGTAGCAGCATGGACCCTGTGCCCAGGGGTGCAGC